GATGGCTCCAGGAAGGCAGGGCAGGGAGGGACGCTGGAGAGCAGCTTTCGCCTACAGCCTTGGGGGGAGGGGGGGTTGCAACCCTGCCCTGTTTGGTGCCCCTCGTTGCTTGAAATGGGGTGCTTTGTTTGGGGGGGGATGCAGGAGGGCCAAATAAGAGGCGGGCTCAGCCTCCGCTGGGATGGAGCAAGCAGAAGGAAAAGCAAGAGAGGGGGGGGGATGGGATTTCACTGGCAGTTGCAAAGCAGCCTTCCACCGATTGCCTTCCCCCAATGCCCCACAACCCTTTCAAAAGCCACCCCCATCGCCAGCCTCTCCCAACCGGATCCCCACCTGCTTCCTCACTGCGCTGCCACCGGCGGAAAGCTGTCGCTCTCCCTGCAGAAAAACGGCCCGCGGGAGAAAGGGAAACCACTGCCTCTACAAGCCACATTGGGAACGACACTTCAGAGAAATAAAAACATTTTTTTAACGGCGTCCTTTTTAAAATTTTCTTTCTTTTGGAAAATCGGGATTTTTTGAACACGGCGCGGGATACGGGACAAATTATTAAAAATTGTGACTGTCCCGCCAAAATCGGAACATCTGATCACCTTAAGGATATTGCAAAATCTCCATTCCCTCCTGACTCCTGGGGGAAGTATACTGCAAAATCTCCATTCCCTCCCAATCAGCTGGGACTCGGGAGGCAGGGAATAGATGCGGGCAGGGCCAGTCAGCGGTGGTATTTATCAGTTCTCCAAACTACTCAAAATTTCCGCTACCAGTTCTCCAGAATGGGTCAGAACTTGCTGAATACCAACTCTGAAGTAAAGTTATAACTAGTAGCCAGCATGGGTTTGTTAAAAACATATCATGCCAAACCAATCTTATTTCATTCTTTGTCTAAAGTGACTAAATTTGTAGACCAGCGAAATGTTGTGGACATGGTATATTTAGACTTCAGCAAGGTGTTTAATAAAGCAGACCACAACCGACTATTCCAAAATGTGGATGGATTTGTAACTGGCTAACAAACCATACTCAGCAAGTAGGCCTTAATGGTACTTTGTCTACATGGAAAGAAGGAAGCAGTGGGGTACCACAAGGTTCTGTCTTAGGCCCAATACTCTTCAATATCTTCATAAATGACTGTGATGAGGGGAATAAAAGGGAACTTGTCAAATATGCAGATGACACTAAGCTAGCAGGAATAGACAACACCCCAGAAGACAAGCTCAGGATCCAAAAAGATCTTGAACCATGGGCCATATCCAACAATATGAACTCTTTGCCACCAGAAGGTGTGGGTGCTCCATCACTGGAGATTTTCAAGAAGAGACTGGACAGTCACTTGTCTGAGATGGTATAGGTTCTCCTGCTTGAGCAAGGGGTTGGACTAGAAGACCTCCAAGGTCCCTTCCAGCTTATTCTATTCTAAAGATACTTTAGCCAGATATGCGTGAAATGAGCTGTGTGCATTTGTGCAATTCAAAACTCACAGATGTGTCAGGGACTTAAGCCCACGAAAGGCATTTTTTGACAGAGACTGGATGTCATTGTTCTCGATGAACCTGGGTAAACAAAAAACAAGATGGCAAGGACATATTCTGATAAGGTCCCACTACATTTTCTCCATCACCCCCTCCCGCCCCACTTTCCTCTGACAACAAATCCCTTTTCCCTTCATTTACGTTTTTCCAAAGAAGACCCAGATGTCCGTCAAACACAGTCCCTCACTTCCATCCTTTCCATCTTTGAAAGTGCCACCCATAGCTGGGACACGGAAGGCAGAGAATAGATGGGGGCGGGGCCAGCAAGAGGTGATATTTACCGGTTCTCTGAACTACTCAAAAATTTTGCTACCAGTTCTCTAGAACTGGTCAGAACCTGCTGAATACTACCTCTGGAACAGTGGTGGGTTCGGACTGGTTCGGCTGAACCGGTAGTGGTATGGTGCCCTGGGTTGCTGGATCCGGCAGCGACCCAGGCCTGCCACGCCCCCAAACCGGTTCCCCAGTCTTTGCTACCGTGGCCGGCATATTTCTGTGCATGCGCAGATATACACAGCGACGCACGCCATCTCAGTGGACCGGTAGTAAACCGGTTAGTAACCTACCACTGTTCTGGAGTCTCCCTTTTCTATGACACCTGGGCTAAAATAAAGAGTGAGCAGATGCCCCTGCAGGGATATTGAAGCCCAGAGTCGACACTCCTGGGAGAAATGTGGTGGCTGGGTTTTGCTTCATGGCAAAGATCCAGCATGGGATTTGATTGGTACCTCAATGCAGGTGTCCCGCAACCAGCCCTGGAGCAGAAAATGCCACCCGTGTCTCTGTCTGTAGAAGATTATTAACAGGGTTGATCTTGCTACAGGCAGAAGTGAGTCAGCCTATGCCAGAGGAAGGAGCTTCCCATGCTGAGGGGGAAGTGTCCCCCTGTAGTTATGATGAAGAGGAAGAACTAGGTCTGTGATTGTGAACCTATGGCATGTGTGCCAGAGGTGGGAGATAGAACCCTCGCTGTGGGCACATGCACTGTCGCCAGCTGCTCTTCTGGTTTCTGCCAGCCAGCTGGTCTTCACGGGTGCCAGAGGGCTAGAAAACAGCCTGAAAAATGCCCCCAAAACAGGCTGGTTTGGGGTGGTTTTCAGGCTATTTTTCAGGCCATTTTCCGGGTATTTTTGGACCGTTTTCAGGGTCATTTTTGGCCTGAAAAGCCCCTCAAAAGCCTGAAAACCCCTCCCAGAACAGCTAAAGATGGCCAAAAAACAGACATGCATGCGCTGGCCAACTGGTCTTCAGGTTTCCGGTGCTTGGGCATGCACACATGCACATGCATGCACGCACGTTCCGGTTTGGGCACTCGGTGCCAAAAAGGTTTGCCATCACTGAACTAGGTGCTGTCCTTGAAGAAGGGAGAGAAATGGTGCCAGATCCAAGGATGCTAAGCCTCTTTCAGTATGTCAGTAGGTGACTACAGATCAGAGGGGGCATTCGGCCGGTTTGTTCCAGTTCGGGCGAACCGGTGGCAGTGGCGGCAGGAGGCTCTGCCCTCCTACACCCAGATATCATCACGGACACTCTGTACCATGCACAGAAGGTTTTGTGCATGCGCAGAAGTGTTGTGCGTGTGTTCCCAGTTCCAAACCAGTAGTGAAGGTAAAAGGATTTTATGCCTGTTCCAGATTCTTCCTGTAATTCTTCCCTACTTCTCCAGCCAAGACATTCATATTTTAACCCTGCATGTCGTTTTCCCTCCCCCCCCCACAAAAAAAGGCCCAGGTCACCCCATACTCTGACTAAGGACCAGAGAAAGTCTGCTAATATTCCATACAGGTATTGCAGGTGAGAAAGGCCGGTGAACGTGTTGTCTCTGATCAAGGAAAATTTGTTGGAATTCAGCAACCTGCAAGAAGGAACAAAGAAAGAAGCAAGTGTTAAAACGGGGGACAGGCCAAGGCAGGCAAAAGAGCCTGCCCACATTTTGTTCAAGATTTCCCAAATAGCGCTGCAGGTTGTTTTAAATTCTCTTGCATTTTTATTTCATTTCAGTTCAATTTTTACACTTAGCTGTGGAGATCTCCCCGTGGAGATCCACACCCTCACCACCGTCCAGGCCTTCCGCACGGCCCTCAAGATCTGGCTATCCCGTCA